AATAATTATTTATGATTGAAAAACTTAAAGTTATGATAAATTATCTAATAAATTTTTTTTTAATTAATAATTATCAATTAAAATTTAATAAAATATTACCAAAAAATTTCTTGTGCCACTTCACTCTCTTAAATTAAATAAGTCAAATTTTAAATAATTCAATCGATGAAAATTTTTTCATTATAAATTTATTGTGTATTTTCAAAAATTATTTGACCAACAAAACAGCTACCTTTAAAAGATTTACTGTATCAAACACTAAAAATAATTTTTTTTCCAAATTTTCCAAGCAACAGACTTAAACATTACCAAAAATGTTCAATGTATATTCAATTAAAATAAAAATTACTTATATAAAACTTCGATAAGTATTATTCCCAATTATAACAATCTAATTATTAAAATTTGAACAACTTTTTTCAAAACTTTTTTTAACCTTTGATTGATTTATACCAATCATTTTTCTCCTAATTTAATAACCAACTTTATCACAAGGGTGTATATTTAGGAAGTACCTGTCATAAGAATTCACTTCTAACTTATTGTTAGCATATATCAAGTAAAATTAATCGTTACAAGTTTGGAATAACGCCCACTGTTTGTCATACAAATTGTTAGATAGTCCACTGGGAGTATTTTCCATACACACAGTTCTGTAGGAGGTTTTCAGTATAGTAGTAATAGTAGTAGTAGTTTAGTATGCAGTTCATCTAATAGTTGAGAATAGAGAATTGGCATTCTTACACACAGATGGTCTGCTATCGCTGCACTAGCAATATTTCTATTTTATTTCTTAAACTGACTTGTCAAAATACGTCAATGCATGAGTAATTGTTGTCACGAGGCCAGTGACCAAGAACACAACTCTACGACCATACAATGCAAGGATGTTTTTTTGCATTAACATGTACACATTCATTCTTCCCTATTATCTCCATAATGTATTTTCATTCTGTGGGCGAGAAGCAAATGGAAACAATTAGCTGACTAAAACCCGTTGGGAAAACACTCAACTCCAGAGACTAGATACTAGAAACACCTTTTTCGTAAACACTTATTCTTTTCCAGACTTTTCAATTCATGATATAACTTTCTCTCCATTTTCAATTTATCTGACGATTTACCTACTGATCTATTATATTATATTATATTAGACATGTATATTTCCTTCTCTTCCTTGCTCAGAGGACATTTTGTTCTTGTTGTGATCGATCATTGCGAGACAGCAGGAGTGGCGAACGCTACCCAAAATTTAAATGTTACGTTCTGTTTTATAACTTTTGCTCAAACCTCAGCTTATTCATTTCGATACAAGAGAAGCTGTTCATTGAAAAAAAAAAAAAAAAAAAAAAAAAAAAAAAAAAAATTACTCCTGGGAGTTTTTTTTACAATCGTTATGATTGAGACGTTACTTCAATACTCGATCAATATAAAATAAAAGTTTGTTATTTTTGTATTGGAAGACATTCATTCAGCTTTGTAGTAATGCACGCATGATGGAACTTGCTCTAGGGAAATTAGTAAATATTTTTACCTCACATGAATATTCGAAGAAAAAAAACAAACTTTTAGGACTCGGGTCTTTAAGTTTTTAGTGCAAATGATAGTTTTGAAAATTTGTATATAGAGTTATTCATAAATTTGATTTGAAAATGAAATTAAATTATTTTTAATGCTACGTTTAAACTTTATTCAATTAAATCTTAATTAATAAAAGAAAAAATACAATTTTTTATTTATTTCACTTTACGTACGTTTTTAGTACTTGCTTTTAATATACTTTACGAAGACATATTGTACATAGATTTTGATTATTTAATCACAATTTAATGTACAGAAAAAAAAAATATTTATCACAAATAAATCAATTTATTTGAGTCGTTTTTTTAAATATTTCCTTATGACAACCATATAGATTTGGTACAAGAAAGTATAACAGTTGATTAAAACTCTCAACTACTGCTCTTATGACGTGTCATTTGAACCGCGCCAAAAGTGACCGCCATTATTAGCTAGTGTTAATTGCTTGAGCGAACATTTCAAAAAATAGTTTATTTTTACTACATAATAGTGATCATTAATTCTATTCATCGATGTATAAATCATTAATTAATTGGGGATTAGAAAAAGTCGCGCGTACGTGACTTATATGGTAAGTTGTTTAAAATATTATATTTTACGAAAATAAATCCAAATTATTCTTAACCTATAATTAACACTTTCTTTCAATAGAAGACATTATTTCGATCAAATATTTCTTTTTCTGTGTATGATGTACATGGATTTTGATTATTTAATCACAATTTGATAGCTATTTCAAATTTTAAATTTTGATTTTTGAATTAACTCTTATAATATTAAAATTGAAAACTAAATGAGATAAACTCGTAACTGTTTAATAAGGTCTAAATGAGATTTGGGTAAAATAATTTTAATCCAGAATACTTAAAAAAAAATATTGATATACTCTAACTCCCATGTGCTTGCAAGATAAAGGCTGACAGTTAATTAATTTAGACTAATATGTCAACGACAAATGAAATAAAATTAGAGCGCGATAAATCACTTAAGAAAGTCGGTGTTGGAGGCGAATAGCGGATAGTGGGAGTAGAAGCTCGTAAGTAAATATTAAATACATTAAAAACTGTCATCTGTCATCGGTGAGAATAAACCTGGATTTTATAATTTAATTTATCATATACAGTCATCTCTCAGCGACCAATAAAATAACATATTTGCTTATTACAGTATGTAGTTGTGCTTTTGCCGGCCAACGCCAAGTTCCTAATCAGATACGGTATACACAACCGACTCCATGTCGCACTTCTCTCGTCATTATGCCGTAATGCATATCTTAATGATTATGAAACACTGAGACACACCGACAAACTGCAGCCTTAATTCTTATCTCGCTTATATTATGTTTAATATTTGTCCCTTTTTTCTTTTTTTTTTTTTAACCAACTTTTAACTCATATAAGACCGGGATACAAACATAAGCGCATGTTATATGCTATACGGAGGCATATGTGTGGAGAAAAGAAAATAGAATCACGTGACATCCATACCAACTCATGTCTGCACCCGTCCCACGCTTCTGCAATCAGCTCCTCATAAACTACAATCACGACACGTGTCTCTATACCGTTTTCATCCATTCATCCTTCTATGTATTACTTTTTATAAGTATATAGTATACTTATTATGTACTTACCCTTTTTTATATATTAAAGACTATAGAAATATATTGTAACAGCATTATTAACAAATAGTTATGGGTTTAATAATAAATTTCAGGGCAAAGACTTTAATTAAAATTCAACTTTGGAAAAAAATTTTCAGACAAACAGTCTACAAATACATTGTTCTTAAAATAAAAATTAAAATATTACCTTAATCATATATTTATTTGGAAGAAGTGATTGTTTTTAGAATAATTTTGTTCAAAATTTTGTTACTCCAAAAAAAAATGTAAAATTATTTTAATTATTGAACACTATATAAAATGTTATTGAAACACCTTGATGGGATTAAAAAATAATAATTTTGTATTAAATACAATTTAATTCTATTGTTAAAAAATTCAGTTCTATTCTTAATGCAACTTTTTTAGATTTAAAAAAATAAATAAAAAATATTCTTTGAAACAAAATAGTATTATTAATATATAAGACAATAAATTAAAATTTTTCAGAAAATTAATAATACATCGAACGTTAACTTTTAATCTTGTCACAAAATCAAAATTTTCAAAAAGCATATATTTTCAAAGATTCCGCATCAATAAAAAATAAAAATAAAATCAAACATCAACGTCAAAATAAAATTCTTACAGAAAATACCGCAACTTGATTTCTGTAACAATCAATTTTTCAGTAGAGGATTAAAAATTTTCCATTGTTACGATCCAAAGAAAATTTTTAAGTAGAACCATTCAAAGGATATCTTCTCCAAAAACCACTATGCAGTATTAAGAATAAGCCTGTAACGCCTGATCACCAAAACAAGCTTCTTCAAAAAAGAATGAAGATTAGTCATAGATAGCCCGAAAAATCAAAGTATGACGACTGAATTTTTGACTTTTTGTCAGGCCTATAGAATAGATAACTATTCCTATCATTAGCAGAAAATTAGAAAAAATTTTTTTTGTTCAAGTTTGTGTTCTAAGTAATAAGTAATAACTTTAACTAATAACAAACATTATTTTAAAGCTTACATAAAAATGATAAATATCCGCATAAATACACTCGTAAAATACAAGATAACAGCGCGTGGGAGTAGGTGGAAACCTCGGGCGGAGTAAAACCTGAGACCTCCTCTCAAGCATCGAGCTAAAAAACGCAAAAAAGAAAGAAATAAAAAATAACAGTAGTACAAACCAATGCTTAGCTTGGTGAATAAAAGAGAAGTACGCGCGTGGTCCTTTGATTTCTTTCCCGGTTTACCATCACCACAGCATCTCGTTCTCGCTCCTTTGGTTTTCCATCTCCGTCTAGCATACATCGTCTTAAACTTGTTCTTGACTTCTTATTCTGTCCGACTCACAATTCCGCGCTCCAAAACTCGAGGAAGAGGCGGAGTCTCTCTTTTTACGACGCCTCAGCAGCCTACCTTTTTCCCGGGTGGTCTCTCTTTGGTCGCGATACAGCCAAGAGAGATCACTGGCTGAGATTCCCCTTCTGGATCCAGTTGGAGCTGAGACCCCGAGCTTAGCAGGTCTATTTTACTTTCCTTCTCAAGAAAACTTCCACACTTTTCTCAATTTCACTCCGCATTAACGACGACAATAACAATACAATAAATATTTAAATTTATCGTCATCGTCATCATCATCATCAATTATTTTAGAATTCTTGATTGAGTTTTGATATTGATTAATAAGTCGCTCGAGTTCGTGAACACTCAACAAGTGATTTGATTTTTTTTTTTTTTTTTTTTATTCAAGCAATTTAAAACTTTGGTTGGTGTTGTGATTTTTTATTTTTTATTTTAAACACTAAATGGCTGTTAGTACCCTCAACATGACACCGTACTTCACTGGATATCCTTTTCAAGGTATTTATTTATTGTTATTAACAAATTTTAATAAATCAAAATTTTTTTTTCATTCAAATAAAAACCGGTCAATTTTTTGTGCTAACTTTTATCAAAAATAAATACTCCAATTTTTTTTTTTTTAATTAAAAAATGCTTTGCAATCTGCAATTCTCAGTGTCAAATATCAATCTCAATTACCAACAATCATCCATCAAATTTGGCGTAATTTAAAAACGCAAATTGATTTAAATCACAAACTAAAAAAAATGAATAAGTATAGAAATAATTATTTAAAAATTAACCAATTATTCAAAAGACATTAATAGCCCGTTAAGCAAATTGGAGTCAGCCGTCGGCAGAGAATTCTTACATCACTGCTAATTTATTATTATACTAAAAAAATAATATTTTATTTTATTATCATCGCCATAAACTCATAATGACAGTCCATAAAAGATTGACCTCGTCGCCACTTAAATAATTTGCTAAATTATAATTGTAAATTAAATTTTCGATTTCTTAGACGGATGTTGAAGTCACCTTTTATTTATTATTAAATCAAATAAAATACATAAGACAAAATAAATTAGGGGTATGCAACTAATATGAGCAGATTGGTACAATTTATCGGAGTAAAAATGAATAAATGAAACGTTTATCATAAAAAATGTAAAGAGTGCGTTTACAAGAAATAAAGTCGTGGTACTACGCGGTGGGCGGTGGAACAGCATGTTCGGACGTGGGTATCTAATGTCTGATATCGGATTGCCCTGAGGCGACGGCACGTTGATTGAAGCCCAGCCAGCTTGAAACTCACATCGTGTATATCTCTAAGTACATGCGTCCTGCAGGTACTCGATCCTTTTTTATTCTTACTTGTACTCAGTCAGTTATTGTACGCGTCTCCTCCTATAAGATACCCTTGAATCCCTCCGTAAGCTCAAAATTAACTGCAAGACATTAAATTAGAGAAACTTTGGATTAATTACCACTAAAAAAAAGAAAAAATTACAGCTCCTGTTGTGTACAAAATATAAAAAATGACTGGACTCGAGGCTTGAATAAAAATCTTCCCCTTGAGTTTTGGCAAGCCAGCTTTTTGTTCACGCTCATCACGACTATTAGCATGATAGCTGGAAATCAATTGCCGGTTATCAATAATTCATATTCTAAATTATTTTATCGCGTCTGTCGTTTTATTTTAAAAGCCCGGGTTGAACTGCATTTACCGGGGAACCAGGGTGGTCTCCATCTCTCTCTCTCTCTCTCTCTCTCTCTCTCTCTCTTTCTATCTGGCTCTTTCTTCCCTCTCGTTTACCTCTTTATAAATAATACGCTGCCGAAATTGAAGGACAAGAGAAGAGAGATAAGAGAGGAAGAAAAATAAGATAAAGAAAGAGTTAAAAGTGTAACCTAATTGCGGAAGGAAGCAAAGGATAAGCGACTTTAAGAAGACACCGCATCATCATCGAACGCTTGTAAATTCTCGAGGCATGTAATTTTGGCGAAAACAACCTGTAATTATTTAACGCGTAGTACGCGCGTTATATATGGGCCAGACTGCCAACTGAGCTCCTATTATTTCGTATTAACTTTCGGGAACAAACAAATAAATAAATATAAATAAACACACATGTAGATACGTAAATATAATATAATACAAGTGTTGATAAGTAAATGACTCAACTGTTTTTTTAACGCTGCACAGATTCAAACCGATGACGTTTTAAATGCACAGCACATACGCGAATCCATTTAATGTCTCTTGAGTCCTTAATATCGTATATGAATGACGGCAATTAAATGTTTGATGAATGCTTAAGAATAAAAACAAGCTGGAGGAATGAATAAAAAAACAAATTATTGGTTACTGCGATGGTTGTCTTTTGCAACCGTTTCATTTCATTATTTTTATTTTATTTTACTTAATATTCATGTTATATTGTACTCTATATGGTTGGGTTGCTTATACAGTAAATAATAATTTAATAAATTGGAATAGGGACAAGTGGGCAAGATGATTACATGAATTATGTGAATTCGTAATAGTTTTTTTATTGTAAAAAGTAACCGATCTGTGGATCGAAATGAAATGAGCTGGGCGTTGTCTTGTATTAGATCTCATTGTTGTCATCATCGGTCTATCTTTTGTACCTTTGCCTTTATCTTTGCCTTTACCTAGTCTTTTATGTGTGGATGTATTTTATGAATACATGGATGAGCCCTCATGTGTGTTTGTAACTGGCTCGAGTGTGCTGGTGGGTTTTTCTGGTTTGGCTTTGGGTCTGAACACGCTTTGGGGCCCAGAGTAGAACGCGGTGTCCGCGTTTGCGCACCCAACGCGTCGGTCAGGCGGTGCCTTTTGATCTCGCCTGTAATCCCGGCGGGCCCCGCGGCTTCACTGACGTCATCTGAGAGGTGTCCAGCCTGTTCAATTCTGCATTTAGCGCTCACGTTCTGACTCTACTTTACTCTCATCTCATCTGGGTATGGCTATGGCTATGACTATACTATGCCTGAATATATACTAATATATTGTGTGTAATGTGTAGATGATGCAGATGTAGATGGAGATGATGATCGTGCATTGCGTGGCTCTATGCAATCTGAATTGCTATGGATTTGAAATACGGTTTCAGACACGCGTTTACTCAAATGGCAAATTCTAGATTAAGAAATTTATAGTGATAATAATAATAATAATAATCATTATAATTTTCTGGTGGATCGAGATGACTTCCTTATGCAAATTCTTCCTAGTTATGAGATCGTTTTTATGGGAGGTAGTGTCGTTGATCTCCGGGGTATTTCATTACATTTTACATTAGTTAACAAAAGTATTAAATATTTTTATAAGAACTTGGCTGAGTGAATCGTTAATTGCTATTTAATTTGTTTTGCGTTTGATTATATTTATTATCGCATACCTCGAGCGCGAATACTTGCGATGTGCTTTATGGTTGCTTCTTGAGTTTATATTCTTCATTTATTTCTACACTCAGTTCAGTAAAATATTAGATAAATTTAATTATACAGATAATTTATCAATTATTATTTATAACACAATTTTTATCAATTAATTTAGAAGTATATATATTAGGTTACAGTAATGATATCATATTTCACAAAAAAATTTTCTGAAAAAAATTATTTTCAAGAGTTAAGTTGTCTTGAATCAAAATAAAAAATTTTTTGATTTAGAAAAATTTACTTAAATTAAGAAAAATTTGTCAGTAAGAATTTTTTTATTTAAAGCAAGACAATAAAATTCTTCAAAATGATTTTCTTGATTTAAAAATTTTCTCTTGAACCAAGTTAATTTTTTTTTTCAGTGTAATTATTAAAAATTATGTATGGACGTATCAACCAATAATAAGCTATATAAGGATACATCAGGTCGAGTCAAAAAATTTTTTTACGGGATATTAAATGTTCATAGATATTTTTGACCTGTTGAATAAATAAATTTTTCATCCTCGCGAATGAACATTACAAAAACATAAAAAACAAACCCGAAGGCTGATAAACAATAGCTTTTTATCGTATTCAATTACTCGTAGCCTCATAAAGTCACTGCAGTGATAAGTCTGTCTAGTATTGAAACAGCTAAATCTACTTTCATAAAATATATCGCCGCAGTATATTTTAAGTTTATACCCATAATAATTTATGTGTTCGTTGATTTAGTTATTTATTTATTTATTGATTGGAAAAAAATAAATGCCAGGGTTTATTTAGAGCTAACGTTAATTAAAGAAATCTTTGAATAGATTATTATTAAGTATGACTATTATTTTTTGTTCGTTAATTTAAACATATACGTAATTAGAAACTGGGAAAGAAAAGTTTATGTATTATATGTAAAGAGTTAGAGTCCTTGGGTAAGTTAATCCGTAAAAAATAAAATTAAATGCATCGCATAAAATAAATAAATAAAAGAGGTAAAAGTAAATTTACTGCTTATACGTATTAAAACAGCAAAACCGCAGCCGTAACTCGCTGGATGGATAGGTAAAAAGATTTTCTTTGACTCGTGATGCGCAACTGGACTTGTCTTTTGTAAGATCCTCTGCACGCGATCCTCTCCCCTGTCCCATACCCCGTCCCTGTCTCATTCACTTTCTTTCCCGCATTTAAACACTCGCCCGGCCGTATAATATTTTGTTTATATTATTTTACCCGGTAATTGCATTATAAAATTAATGAAGAGTCATTACTAGCAGGAACATTTTCATAAAAACCCCCAGCAAAGATCACTCATTATTTTTTATTGTTCAATTCTGCTGAAACCTCTAAAAAAATATTTACAATTTTTATTAAAGTAATGTAATATAAAAAACATTTTTCTTTCAGGACAAGGACGAGTCAATCAATTGGGCGGCGTGTTCATCAACGGTCGTCCTTTGCCGAACCACATACGGCTCAAGATTGTCGAAATGGCAGCTGCCGGTGTAAGACCCTGCGTTATTTCGCGACAACTACGCGTGTCTCACGGCTGTGTCTCGAAGATACTCAACAGATACCAAGAAACAGGATCCATTAAACCCGGTGTAATTGGTGGCAGTAAACCGCGCGTCGCTACTCCAGAAGTCGAGGCTAAGATCGAAAATCTCAAGCGAGAGAAGCCCGGAATTTTCACCTGGGAAATTCGGGATCACTTAATAAAGGTCCGCGGATAAAACATTTCAATTTCAATTAATAAATTATTTAAAAAATTACAAAGAAAAATTAATTAAAAAATTGCCAAATTATACTAACTGGTCCATTTCGGTTTTGTTAGCAGGAAGGAGTCTGTGACAAAACGTCGGTGCCGTCAGTATCAAGCATCTCAAGGCTCTTACGTGGACCAACAAGCCAAACACGTCCCGGTGATGATCCAAGACGCAATCATTCTATTGATGGAATTCTCGGTACTTTTATTTTATTTATTTTATTGTTATACATACATGCTTTCTTGGCCATACTTTTGTAAATAATTTACTCAGAAGCTCTTGCTTGAAACCTTTTCCGGAAATGTTTGTAAACACTAAATAATTTAAAAAATAAAATTTCCAAAAATACTTTTAAAATTAATTCCGGAATTTATTGTAATGTAATTTTTAGAACACAATACATGCCTATAAGGCTCAGGGTTTAGCAGAAAATCACGTCGGCATTTATAAAGAGGATTCCGCGTTATATTTATTAGGACGCCGGTGAAACATCAGCAGCCATATATATACATATACATATACACTTTTATATCTTTCTCTTTCTTTACCGAGAAATATATTAGACGTCCCGCGGTGAGCGCGAATGTCTTGAGTTTATTATCTTCTCGCCTGAAAATTTCACATTTGATTAGGAGAGTATGCTATATGCTACAATGACGTACATGTGCATTAGATTAAAACTTGCATATTCTGAGCATATGTGTCAATACAGACGGAAAAAAATTCGTAACAAAATTAGAGTAAAGTTTGTTAAATTATACTGAAAATAAAAAAAAATTAATTTGGTTTAAAATTTCTCAGTTGAAAAAATTTTTTTCATAAATCAATTATTTCTTTAGTGTAAATAGAATTATTAATGATCAAAATTCTATATAAAAGTTTTAATATCAACATTTATACATAATTTTATATAATTATATAAAAAAATTTGACAGTTTTTCTTTGTAAATATAATTATTTACCTGAGTAAATTTTACATATTCATATTTGAATATTTAACAGTTTTTTTTTTTTTTATAAATATAATTTAAAATATCTGTGTAATTTTTCCATTACCATTTCTGTAATTTTCATATATCATTTTTTTCTGTATAAAAGCAAAGCAAAAAAAAATAATAACTTTATCCAAAGAAAACACGCGGAATTACAGAATTATACTATGAGTCCATTATTTATATTTCCTTGAGTTTATTTCGAAATTATCGAGTGCAGTCGGTTCGCTCGGAAAAAATAACCTCTTTAGTCTTTTTGCAAAAAAATATCTCGGAGGTGCAGATGAGTATAAACTCAGTCTTTCGCGGCGTGTGGTCCCCTTGCATCCGAGCTGCTGCAACTCCTCCTGCTTGATCCTGCCTCCTCTAATCTCGAGGAGCGCCGCCGAAGAAAGGAGCTAAGAGCTAAGAATTGTGGTAGGTACACTCACTGAGTACATACTACGCGGCACTGTAAGTACATACCACTAAAAAGATAAAACTAAAAAATAGCGGAGATAGAGAGAAGAAAAGATCTTCCAGCCGGCAGACACGAGAGTAGCTGACCGACTACTCAGTAAATAATAAAACTGATATGCCCATATTTTATCTATCTGTATCGATTTGAATGATAACTCTGGATAATATAGGTAATAACACACCATCAGCGATCCTTAAAACTGAATAAATCTGCTATTGATTTAGACACGTTATCATTTTATACAATTATTCTGCTACAAGCTAGGAACACCGTTATATAGCTCGTAAATCTCCAAGTTTTTGAATAATAATAAGTAATCTTTTAGTTATACTACTGATTTTCGTGTTATTATTGAAATTTTATGTTATTTTGAATTTTAGTTTACTATTTAAAAACAAATTTCAAGTTTATTAATTTGGTTTTTTTTACTTAAAATTAAAGTACATATTTTTTGTTTAAGTACTCGGAAAAAATTTAATTAAATAAATAAATATAATGAATGATTTTTTTAACTAAAAAAAATGTTTTTCTTCCAAAACATCTCCTTTTTTAGTAGCCATTTACCACTGCCGCCCTCTGTGGGATTTTTGAAAAAACTCATCTTCTTCCAACTATATTCACTTGTTGGAAAAGTATATGTTTATAAAATCATGATGTATTGCTGTTTGGAAGATAGAAATTAAAGTAAGAATCATTTTAAAAAATTACTAAAAAACTAAATGAGTTGGAATTATTATTTTAAAAAATAAATAACTTGAGCGTAATTATTTCTGGTGAAATGATGAAAATTGATTAAAGTCGACCAAATTCAAGTTCTACACAGAAAAAAAAACTTGTTTGAACCAAAAAAATTACTGAGGAAATTCAAAACAGTGTCGGAATTTTTCTTCGCTCCATTCGAAATATCAAGTTAAATTAATTAATTTAAAAAGTAGTTTATCATGATGAAAAAAATTTCTCGCGATAAAAATTCTCAGTAATAATTTCTTGTTCAATATGTTCATAATGGCTTTATTTCTCATTGGAGCCCCTTATTTTAATAACGTAGATTCATGTTAAGATTATGTGTTGGTCTAATGTAGTAAAATATGATTATACCTTGTTGACAAATTTAAAATTCGGTTAGTATACTTAATACATTTTCATTTACATGCATTGCTGTCTTATAATATCTTAATCCAATCAAGGTTTTTCATTTGCTTCAATTTTATTTTACATAATAAATATATTTTAATTAAATTTCAATATGTCGCTGCATTTTATAATTAACCAGAAAGGTAAGAAAACTCTCATAAAAAAGGGGTTTATGTATAATTATTATCGTGACGGTAGTGATAATCCTCTTATATTATCGATTATTTACGTGGCATCGCGTACAATATATCTTTTTAAGTATCATTTTATTAATGTATTTTTAAAATTACCGAATTATTATTAAAATTAATATTTATTTAATTATTATTGTTGTTTGTGATTATAAAATCTTTGAGAAATTTTTGTCTCGAGAAATAGTTACGAATTAATAAAGACACGGATGAGCCGTTTATCATCTTGGAGCTGTAAATCTTAAAACTCTACAGAATATAAAAATAAAATGCTTAAAGTAGATAAGAGGAAGTAAGCTGAAGCAATGAGTGAGGAGAAAAGAGCAATAAGAGGATCTTAATAGCACGATGGGTCGCGGAAATCGTCAGGCTATTGGAGGCAGTATAAAATATATAAAAGAATACATATATATCGGGTGGGCAGAGTGCATATAGCTCTCCTGTGCTGTGTAGTGTTTAGTTGTATGCCCTCGAAGCGTTGCCGAGGATTTACGACTACCGCAATGGCCTTTAATCTTGCTTACCGCTCGCGAGTAGAGCGCAAATGCTCCACTCGCCGTATAGTATACCGGGTTTAGTTACTTTTATCTTGATATTGCTCTGCACCAAGTTAACTATTCTTCGCGCCCTGACGGCTATCATGCTCGTATATGTGTGTACACATAAAATATGAATAAAGCTGCTGGTGATGCTCGGCCTATTGATTCAGAGGCCCTGCCTTTCTGTCTTTCCTGATCGCTTCATTAGCCATTTAAACTTCCAGCTAATCAATGTCTTTATCTCCGCATTTATCGTAGTGTCTATCTTTACACTCTTATTATTATCATTATTATTATTATTATTATTATTATTATTATTATTATTATTATTATTATTATTACTATTATCATTGCAATTACTATTACTCAACCCCGTGATAAATCGGAAATACTTTTTCCGTTCGTAAGAGATCGGCATTAAAATAAATATAGAGTAGAAAATGTTTATAATTTAACGTTAAGCCTAGTTTATGTGAAATTTTGCGTAGGTTAAAATTGCTCGAGCTTACAGGACATTCCACGCAATAATTTCATAAATTTTATTTATAATTATAATCACAAACAAAAAATAAATCCAAACAATCCACGAAAAAATTTCGAAAATTTAAAGATTATTCTCTTCAATATTATATACAAAAGAAAATATTCATTGCAATGATGATAATTTCGCGTCTTATGTCTCCTACATACGAAGAATGATTGCTGATCGGTACTTAATGCTGATGACCAAAGTCCATCGTACGTGAGAGGCCTTAGGAAGGTATCCAACATGTCAAAGAACTTAATTCCTGTTGGCGTACGGACCCTAATTTCTTCGGTGTTTTAGTTTAGTATAGGTTACCCAGCGAACGGCTGTAATCACGAAGGATTTAATGGTGGGTTGCAGTCTCGGGCGTGTGAACTGTGGGCGGTAACAATTCGCTTCCTATCTTCAGTATCTGACGTCTAGCACGTGCTGGAACTTGAATTCCACACTCCTCGTCTACGTCTCAACTCTCGACTTTTATATACCTATACACATATACACATATACTATCAAACATTACCATTACTTACATTTGTGCGCTAGGATTGCGTGAGCTAGGAATTTTCCTGTATCTGAACATTCTATCTCCGTATATGAACATACTTTTCTTATTTAAAACTATCTACCATTTTCCAGAGCCCTCACTTTTATAATAAAATAACGAGCCGTAGAATTAGATAAATTTAACCATTTATTTTTTATATACTCACTGCGACAGATGCTTGATGTTAAATCCTTTTTATACAATTTATATTACATTTATTAATTTTTTATCCCACTTATTTCCCCGTTTGTATAAAAACAGAATCTCCAAGTGTGTAATATTTTATTTTATTTATATTCTTCTTCACATGATTGACGAATTTCTTCCGCATTTCTGCCGCAGGTGGTAGCAGCGGCGATGACTCCGACATAGAGAGCGAGCCGGGAATAGCGCTAAAGAGGAAGCAGAGACGCAGCAGAACAACATTCACCGGAGAACAGTTGGAACAGCTTGAAGCTGCCTTCCACAGGACTCAGTACCCCGACGTTTACACCAGAGAAGAATTGGCTCAAAAGTACGCATGATGAAGCATTACGCTTTTTCTTCCTTGATCTCTATTTATTTCATAATAAATAAATTGTGAAATATGGGATTAAGTACTAACTGTAGATACAGCAATATGATTCGAACGTGCTGGTTGTATTTTTCAGAACTAAATTGACAGAAGCACGAGTCCAAGTGTGGTTTAGCAATCGGCGAGCGCGTTTACGTAAACAGCTGAACAGCCAACAGTTGAATGCCTTCAACACGATGAGTCTTCAATCCTTCCAAACTCAGCACGGGTATCCAAGTGGTGCCGACAGCTACCAAAGCTACGGTCAGGCCTCAGTAGCTGCGGCTGCAGCAACCACAGCGGGGTATCCTCAACACTACAATTACGGTGAAAACTACTACGGCGCTGCACAGCAACAGTGGCCTCGAGCGACACCCGAAAACTACGGGTAAGTTTTTTTTTTTTAAATTATTTTGGTTTATTTTTGCTCTGCTTGAGAATCGAACCCTGATCGTCCGCCTCTTGAAATATTCAGTCGAAAAATTTTAAAAGAATCTCAAAAAAATATCCTTATAAATTTTATAGAAAATTCTTTTGTTAATTAACTTTTTTTTTTCTAATTAAAAATCATTTATGTTAAATAAATAAATTTATGGATAATTACAACCTTTTGTTGAGTTTAATGATCGACAAAAAAATATAAAATAAATTTTATTTTTTACTTGTAAAAATAGAATTTATTTATCGAAAAAATAAGTAACTTTTTTCAAATTTTTATTAATTATCTGTAATTACCAACTTTAATTCCGAGGATGTAAAACAAAAAAACCAGCAAACACATGTAGGTGCAGAACAATTGAGACAATTTGTATCATCAACTGTTAAAACCCTAGAGGCTTTACTTCGATCGGTGTAGGTATATAGGTATACAGTTACTCATATTATGGCTTAGCTCTGTTGAGTTGGTCTACTCGGCGGTCGAGAAATTCTTGTTCATCTCTCGCTCTCGGACGTCGGTGTGGTCCGCAATTATCTTACTAGGCCCATAATGAAACGCTACTGGCTCATAATCAACTCACTCCGCTCATCCTCAAACTTTCGGTGTACCTATTCAATCCATCTATATTAACTACACACATGTATACATGCATACCCACACGGATTTTTTAATTTATTATATACCCAGGCTGTCAATTATCAATTCATTTGTATCATTAAATTAAATCAAATTTCCACAAAAGCCATTGTTCAGGTCAATAAATATCTTTTTTCAATCTAGTCCTTTAAGCCAATTTAATAATCATGATACAAGTATTCATCTAAAAATAATTTTTTTTTTTCACATGTATACTGTATAAGTTTTAATAACAATATATTACGAGGTATTTAAAAATGTTTGTTACCATTTAAAAGGCTGTAAAAAATAATCAAAGTGCTTTTACCGCAGAATATAATAACTAAATGCGGCGCTTACCGTATAGTACAGTTGGAGGAAAGTTAAAGTCGGAGAATTTCGGGCATACAAGTTAAGGGTTACTTGTCATGCACATACGCACACATGTGCACATTTTTAATAAGGTCGGCTATACATATGCGGTATTGGTCCTGCGATACAGAATATCAAATTTCACAAACAAAATACTGGACCCTTTACTTTATATTATTGCGGTCTTTAAATTAACGGAATGCATTATTACCTTCTCCTTTTTCTTTCACGACTGTGATCAATATATATACACATTGATTAATTATATATAAATCTTAAATACTTCTCCACAGATATTATTATTATTATTATTATTATTATTATTATTATTATTATTATTTTAATAAAAAAAATAAATCTCAGTCCAACTCTAAGAAAAAATTTTTAATGAAAAATAGGATTAAGAATCGGCTTTTTCTTATGTGTATCAAAAACTGTTCTGCACCCAACTCAACTCAAACTTTGATAATCCATGAATATTTACAAGTTATTATGTATATTTTTTTTTTAACAGTTACTTATTAATATCAACTGTTGTGTTACAGCCTTTTTAATAGTTCACATTATGGAAGTACAAACCTGACATCAAATTTATCACCGAGCAATCTAAATCTCGGAGGTCTGGGTGGCAATGTCAGTCCGACAGGTTCTAATATGAGCGCTTGTATGGTCCAAGGGACAACAACTACTGTATCAAACGGAATGGGGCATCATCATCATCACGTGACACCTCACAGCCCGAGTGAAGCCAAAAGCGGTTACCCGTACCTGGGCGCTATTGATTCACAAGTCTGCGGGCGCATTCACTGAAATCGAAAATTAATTACCCGGCTAACTTAACATATCTATCAATAAACTTTATTTCATTTTTGATTAATTGATTAATTAATTATTAACTGACTAACTAATGTACTTTGGATACCAGTGACTTATTTATGGATTTAATATTAATAATTATAATTAATAATTAATTGATGAAATAGATGTAGAAAACTTACCACGAGTGCCTTTATATTTTATTGTAGATTTTTGATTAATTAGTAATTAATAATTTATATCATACAACAGCGAATGGATAATTATAATTATATTTTGCAATTTATCAGTTATTCGCGTGTTTATTATTCAAAAATTTATTATCAAAAAATAATAATGTAAATAAAAGAGAAATAATTTTCTATAAAATGTAAATAAAATTGATTTATAATTTTTAATTGGCAAAAATATAATAATAATATTAATAAGTATGAGTAATTATCGATCAATGTGATTTCCTGACTATTTAATTGGCCAGTTAATATTTTGTAAATATAATATATTTTGTAACATTTTTTATTTTAATAAATTGTATTTAAAAAATGTTTAAAGTTTGTACTGATATAATAAAAAATAAATAATATAAATTTTATCAATTATTTTTTTTCTATTTTTTTTTTTTTCATAATAAAAAAAAATAATCTGATACTAATATGAGTTAAGAAGGAGGACGGAGGCCAAGTTGAGAGTTTAGCTGGCACAACGAGCAATCATCCTGCCGTATATCTGGTGATGCTGTCGCCACGCATTTGTGCTCTATTGTGTAGCCGAAGTAGGTGGTCGTAAGGTTTCTATTCTTTTCATTTTTATTATTTCTCTCTTATTCTTATTCCATCTATATTTTCCTTCTATCCCTATCCCCCTTCAGTCGAGGCTTTCTGTCTTTTTTCAGGACTTTTAAACTTTTACGGGACATTAAAAAGCCAGAGGAGAGTAAAAAAGTGTGGAAAGAGAAGTGTAAGTAAAGCAGAAGTAGACGAGACTCTTCAATATTACACATTTCGGCTCCTTTTCTCGGTTTCATTCCTTCTATCCTCAATAATATAATATAATATCATACTATAACTTCACTACGGCAAGTCACGTTTTTGTCTTTTATATTTTTTCTCTAAATTACTACCGTTAACCAGAAAACAACTATATACTGGTGCAGCGGCTTTTAACTTCTTTCGATTTATTTTTTCTCAAACACAAACAAAACGCGGCATCTTTCAAAGGTAAAACATTTTTTTCTCCTCAAGCAATTAATAATAAAATAATTAATTAATGACTTTGATTTTTGGTTTAATTTAAACTGTAGCTTATTTATATTTCGTCATTAATTTATTGTTGATTAAATTGCCGAGATCCACCTGCACTAAGGGTGGAAAGAACAAACGAAGAAATTCTAGGCTAATGGGGGTTGGAAGATAACTATGGGCGGAAGAATAAAAAAGACTGATGGCACATTTGAGAGTTGAGTTCACAAGTGGAATAAGAGAGTGTCGAGTCGAAGAAGTAGGCCGGAATTGACGTGAATACAGGGGGTGAGATTTCAAAGGAAAGCCGCTGGGAAAAAGCATTCCCATTCGGGAAAATATATTATACGGCGAGTATGGAGTATTAGTAGACTGGATGACTACCACACAACGCAGACCCACTAGACAGTAGTATTACAATATATTTGTCGAGGATTGGGCGGAGATGATGAGATGAATGAATGGCGAATCATGGAAAAGGAAAGTGCGATATGTGGGGTCTTCTTTATAACTCAAGAGTCACGCGCCCCTCGATCGATTTCGGTGATTTCTTTTGTAAGTTTGGGATAAAATGGCCGTTTTCAGAGTGGGTTCTTACATTATTGGTTCAATTTTTTGAACTTAATCGAGAGAATAATTTTAAGGATTTAATGTGGGATACAAATTGGAAAAATGTTTCATTTTTTTATTTCAAATTTTGGAGTTTGTTTAGAAAGAAATTTTTTTTAAAAGTATTCTATTTGCGCACTAATTTTTTGTTAGTTAAAAATTTATTACAGGTAGAAATTGAATACCGGAGCAAAATGAGACAAAATATTTTTTTTTTACTTTCCGGAGCAAATTTGAACACCGTAAAATCTTTTAAACATCCAGAGCGAAATAGGACACCAACTTGGGGCTGTAAAGTTTTCAACGGAAAATAAATGAATTATTCCTTTTTTCCTTTTTTTGTTTACAATGAAAAAAGTTTCCATTAAAAAAAGTAAATCAATTAGAAGAATCGCTTTCTTTGGAAAATTTTATTCCATTTTTTCATCATCAAAAAAAATAACTTGTGTTAATCCATCGAATAATTTTCCACAAAGTTAAGGAAATCCTTTCGCTCCAGTTGAGTCAAAACAATTGTAGTAGTCAATATACGATAAATTAAAATAAAAAACCCATAAAAATTCCTAAAATTAAATAATAAATAGTATATGAGGCATTAATCGTTGAAATTTTAAAAATAAAAAAAAAAATAGTTAAATACAAAAATTAGTTTGACTCTTTCAAATCAGCTGCTAGTAACCTGTCCGTGATTTGGCAACGCTGTACTTCGGTTGTTTACATTTTCATTTGCACAATATAACCTTAAATACGTTTAAATTTTTGCAGTCAGTGTAAATAAATGTACCGGTAAAGTATAATTTAAACCTCACTATTAGATAAATAAGGACCTTAACTATTAGAAAAAAATTGAATTTACTCATAATCTAATATTTTTTATTTTACATTGGCGGCGAAAGGACCTCCTTAAAAATCAACTAAAACATTTTTCCCTTGACAAATAAAATTTTCTACTTAAAAATTTCTTGTTAAATACGTCATTATTCATGACATCTCGTGTCAAACTTTAAATCCACCGTCAATTTCTTGTAAATCCGACGGCGTTTTTGGATCCATGTCAACTTCTGACACTGAGTTCCTCATAATTTTTTTATTCATCTCCAAAACCAAAATTTTCATTTGCGTAAAATCTCCTGTTTACATCTCCATCATTAAAATAAAAGGATCCAAAATCATAGCTGCCGAAGAAGAAGCTCTCCTTATACAGTATTATGGATAAGTAACGATCCAAATAAAGCTCGGATCAAAATTAGCGACGTGAACCGACAGATGTATCGGGAATGACAAAGCTGATAGGCGTGACGATCCCCGACATCAAAACGCCGCACCCCGTGTATGCGTTATAAGAGAAGAAAAAATCTAGGGGCGGCGTTTAGATCCTCGATCCTTCTTATTATATTGTCATACATCTCGTTCCATAGATATGTTAGATGTGAGCAAGCTTTTGTATACCTTCATGAACCATTATTTACCGTGTTCTTCTCTACCCGGGCGATTTTTTACCACTCTTACTCTTACTTTTACACACGCAGTCATATACATTACACATATATTACATCAACTCCGTTAAGATTATGTTGACTTCTCTCTGTGTGATGTTTACTCTTTACCCAACTCTCATTGTACACATCCAATCTATGAATCATTCCGGATGTCCTTAAAGCCGTACTTAATCCCAAAATCTATTTGCTCAGGATCCATATTTATTATTTTGTGGTGTTAATATTATCGAGCAGTCAAAAGTTAAATTTTTTCATTCATTTTCAGGATATATAACTAAGCAAAAAATAAATTATAAAATATGTTCAGACTCTTGTTAATTTTTTTTTTTTTTGGTTTAAATGCACAGAAAAAATTTAACAATAATAAATAATAATCATGGATTTATAATAAATTTTACTATTTAGTACTTTTTTTGTGCAATAATTTTGGACTTTAACTTTTTTTTACAATTACATAGCTGTTATAAATGGTTAAAATGGTATTTTCTGCTGTATAATTGTTAAATTATAGTATTTAAATACTAAATATTATAAATTAATTATTAAAATCACAATTTCATAACTTTAAATAGTTTTTTTTATCAATTGATTATTATTTATTACAGCTCATTTTTTTCCGTATATTATCTATGAAATAATCATAAATAAATTTTCCCCCTAGATAAAATAATAAAAACTAATTTCCAATCAATCAAGGAAGCCAAAAGTGAATAAATTCTCAATACGGATCATGAAAAATGAATGAATCGAAAGCAAGGGAACGGTTAAAGCTTTTATGATATGGAGCCTGCGGAACCCGGATGGTTAAATGCATGATCGTTCGTCGACTGTCGACTGTCGAATGAGTTAGAGTTAACGGGCCAATAGCAAAAAAGAACGCATAGTATATAGGTGGTAGCTAAATAAAAGGAAGAGAGCTTCTGTCTACGAACAATAAAACAACCGAACAGATTAATCAAACTTAACCGAGCCAATGAAAACCGTGCAAATCCAACCCTAGGGGGGTGCGTGTAACCGTTCACTGGATACACATTGTAGTATTTATTCTCATAGTCTTTTATCTTGCATCTTTATCTCTTACCCACGCTAATTCTTCTCCCGATGATGATGATGATGCTATAAATTCGCTCCATTATATTTTCTTTCACTCTTTTACCACCAACGAGCTCAGCAGAGCCACTACCGGAGCTAGCTTGATGACCGAAAATTTATTTCTGTCTTTGGTGTTGCGAATTTAATGATCCTTCCTAAGTGACGGAAAAAATTTTTCACCCTGTTATTAGTTACTTTTTGGGTATTATTTTTACGACTCACTGTTGTCATTTATCTCTATTATCAATATCTTTTTTATTAATTTTTACATAGCAGTGTCATCATAAACAAATTAATATAACTCAATTTTTTAATTTTGGAAACTCAATTCAACAAAAATGCTGCTTTTTACAAATTTTTACCAAATCAGAAACTTTTTATTCCTTTTTGTCTCTAAAGTTTCCAAAGTATGGTTCTTATGACCTCGTAAGAAAAGCGTGAAGAAAGTTTTACCCTATTATGATAGGGGTAAAAATTTCCTATAATATTTGACAAGAAAAAATTCTAACTTACATAAAAAAAATAGACTTTATTAGTTTTGGAGCAATAAGAAATT